GCCCTGGTCAGGGTCCTGTGGGAGGCAACCGATTGATGTGTCTCTCTCACATTGATGTTTTCTTTCTCTCTCTTCCTCCCTCCCTCCCTCCCTCCCTTCCACTCTCTCTAAAAAGCAATGGAAAAATATCCTCAGGTGAGGATTAACAAATAAAAAGAAAATGCCAAATTGGTCTTTCCTTTCCATCTGGCCGCAGCCATTATGCAAGCCAAGACAGGTGCTTACAAGTACATCCAGGAGCTATGGAGGAAGAAGCAGTCCAATGTAATGCAATTTCTTCTCAGGGTGCACTGCTGACAGTACTGTCAGTTCTCTGCTCTACAGAACCCCCACTCCACCTGGCCCGATAAAGTATGCAGGCTGGAATATAAGGCCAAGCAAGATTATGTCATATATCAGATTCATGTGAGCCATGGTGGCTGCAAATGTTCAGTTCCTAAGTGTGCAACCTATGGCAGCCTATCCAACGTGGTGTTAGTCAGCTAAAGCCTTCATTCTGTTGCCAAGGAGTGAGCTGGATGACACTGTGGGGATCTGAGAGTCCTGAATTCTTACTGGGTTAGTGAAGATTCCACATACAAATTCTTTGAGGTTATCCTCATTGATGCATTCCATAAAGCTATCAGATGAAATCCTGATACTCAGTCCACAAACATAGGGGAGAAGCAAGGGCTAACATCTGCAGGCCGCAAGAGCTATGGTGTTGAAAAGAGCCACAAGGCCCTGGTCAGTTTGGCTCAGCGGTTAGAGTGTCGGCCTGTGGTCCGGAGAGACCCAGGTTCGGTTCCCGCTAAGGGCACGTACTTCGGTTGCAGTTTGTCCCCGGCTCTGGTTGGTCGTGCAGGTGGCAGCCACTCGATGTGTCCCTTCACATCGATGTTTCTCTCTCTCTCTCCCTTCCTCTCTCTCCCTCCCACTCTATCTGTACAAAAAATGGAAAAATATCCTTGGGTGAGGATAAAAAAAAAAAAAGAAAAGAAAAGAGCCATAAGTTTCACCACACTATTGGTGGTTCTCACCGTGCAGCTTGAAAATGTGCAATATTTGCCAGCTCCGATACTGCTAATATAATGTTTGTGAAATTCTTACCTAATAAACAATTTAGGAGAGTCATGTCTGTTTACAAGTGTTCCTTAATTTGTCTGTTAAAACTAGTTATCTGCAGATTGTTTCATGAATGCATTGTCAAATTATGAAAGTTAAAGTGCAATAATGTTTGAAGACTGTAAATGATGGTGTATCTCATTTCTCATAAGATAAACACTTTTGTCTTTTCTTTATCTAGTAGGGGTATATATGAACTAGGAAGTTTACATATCAGTGTTTAAAATGCTATTTGGTATATGCCAAATTGGTAACTGCTTCCTTTCACAGTGAGCTTCCAGGAGACAAAGATTTTTATTATTTTTTAAATATGTTTAGAAATATTTTTTAGAAAGAGAGGAGAGATAGAAACATCTATAGGCTGCCTCCTGCACGCCCCCTACTGGGGATTGAGCTCACAACCTGGGCAAGTGCTCTGACCGAAAATTGAACATGATCTCTTGTGCATGGGACAATGCTCAATCCACTGAGCCACACTGGCTGGGCAAGGAGACAAAGATTTTTAAATTCATTGACTGCCACTTGGAGATTTTGTTTTTGGAAAAGACATCAAATAAAAAATACTCTCCAACCTTTTTGGAAGGGGCTTTTTCCAGCCCACATAACCACAAATGGACATCTACCTCTGTCTCTGACACTCACCTCCGCCTACCACAGATACCAAAGGCTCCTCAAGGATGAGAAACCACTGACATCACAGGTAGAAAGTAATTCCAACATACTGACAACGCCCGGATACGTATGGATTAATATTGAACGCAAACCATTTTGTTTGATTGTGTTTATGTGTCTGATAAGTGATATTAGTCATAATGATATTTATGCTTGTTTTTTGAGTTTTTCTTTTTTTTTTGGTACATGCTCCTAGCAGGAACTGAACCAGGAACTCTCTGGTCCTCAGGCCAATGCTCCAACTGCTGAGCCAAACCGGCCAGGGTGAGTTTTTCTAAAAATTCCAATTGTTTATGATTACTGATATAAATGTTATAGTGAATGCAAAATATGAAAAAATGAGACAGATGGCAAAACTCGAATCTTGATAGTTCACAGGATAGAAATGACCCAGAGTGTTTTTCACAATGAAGGTCAAAATGACTTCCTTCCATTTACCTGCCCCTCCCTTTTTTAGAAAAATTCAGCCTCAACTCACAGCCCATGGTTATAGTATTGCCTCCATTAGCAATGGTCCACCATTTCAACAAGATGAGACTTCCTAGGAATGAGCCTCCCTAGTGCTGTGAGACCATATTATCTGACCAAACTATTGGTCATCAATGCCTTCTTCATACTGATTTATGACCAGAATTGTGGTTGAAAAGGGGGTTCTACGGAAAGTAACCTCATAGGGATATTTGATTATAAATTTGTAATTGGGTAGGTCATGGTAGGTAGTCATATTCCAGGCGTATAACTTTTTTAGTAAAAGGTTTATCTTTGCTTTAAGCAAGCCCTGTGCATCTAGGTTAACACAATTTTGAAATGCCAGAGTAATACTTTTTTCTTAAAGTGGCTGACAAAATCCAGCACCCATTTTTATTTATTTATTTATTTATTTATTTATTTATTTATTTATTTTAGAGAGAGTAGGAAGGAAGGAGGGAGGGAGAGAGAAACACTGATACATTGATTGGTTGCTTCCTGCATGACCCCCACTAGGGCTGGGATCAAACTTTCAACCCAGATATGTGACCTTGATCAGAATTGAACCCAAGACCCTTTGGTCTGCACGCCGATGCTCTAACTGCTGAGCCAAATCTGCCAGGGCTCCTTTCTTTCTCTCTTTCTTTTGCTTATAAACAATAGGAATTTATTTCTCACATTTCTAGAGGCAGGAAATCTGAAATCAGAGTGCCAGCACGTTTGGGGGAGGATCCTCCTACAGATCTGGGACACAGCAGTGTATCTTCACATGGTGAAAGGTCTTCTCTTCTTACTGGGACCCTTCTGGTGGATCCCAGCCTACTACGCACTCACCATTTAAGAGCCACTAGAAAAGAATGAAGTTGGAACTGCAACAAGGAAGTCACTCAAGCAAGAGTCCTCTGCTGCTGGAACCAGGGAAAATATTTTTCATGAGACAAATAGAAGAAAAACACAAGTAAGTCAAATTTAATCTTCCCCTAAGATACACTGTTCTCTCAAAGACTCTTCCTTCTTTTAAGAAGGCACATTCAGCCCTGGCCGGTTTGGTTCAGCGGTTAGAGCGTTGGCCTGCGGTCCTGAGAGACCCGGGTTCGGTTCCCGCTACGGGCACGTACCTCGGTTGCAGTTTGTCCCTGGCCCTGTTCAGTTGTGCGGGTGGCAGCCACTCGATGTGTTCCTTTCACATCGATGTTTCTCTCTCTCTCTCTGTTCCTCTCTCTCCCTCCCACTCTACCTGAACAAAAAATGGGAAAATGTCCTCGGGTGAGGATAAAATAAATAAATAAATAAACCGTAATCCTTGACCCCATCCCATCCTCCCGCCCCCTCCCTGAAAAAAAAAAAAAAAAAAAAAAAAAAAAGAAGGCACATTCAGTTCTGGAGCAGAAGCTAGGAAACCAACCCCAAGATAAATTGATTTCCCTCTCCTTTTAATCTTACATAAAAGCGGCCAATTCTAGAAATTCCTCCTTTGATGAGAAGATAAAGCAGAACAATGCTGTGAAACTGAGCAAATTCCTAAGGGACATTCTTCTAGGGTGTGTAAAGCCTGCTTGGAAGTGTGTGTGCCTGGAGGGGGTTGGAAAGTTAGGATTAGGAAAGGTGGGTAGACAAGAGTTGGTAGCCAGAGCTATAAGGAATAATACAGTTGCTTCGAAATTTCTCACAGAGTAACAACTCCATCCAGTTTTATCCCAGAAGTGTAAGTAGGCATGTTGATTACAGCAATTAGAGAGCTTCATCCACCTCAAATCCTCCTGACCCGACATCCCCCCAAAAAAGAAAAAAAAAGTATTTCTTTCCCATTATGTGTTGGAGATAAGTTTCTACTTTTCATACAGACTTCTCACAAATTAAAAAATAATTTTTTTAACTGATGGTACAGTTCAAATTAGTACATTAGATTGTGACTATCTGGAAGGAGCAGATTTAAGGGAAACCCGCTGTAAAATGCAAGCGATTGGAGTCAGAACCCAATTTGAATCGTGTCCCCAGCTTCACCGTCTGTAAATAGATAATTTCCCTATCTGCTTGACATGGTTATGTAATTTTTTGATCTAACATTTAAGGGGAAAACGCTTTAGAAGGACAATCTCATTCAGTTCTCATGAGAAAGGTGTTATGGGGATTGGATGTGAAGATGGTTTGTAACGCAGAAAAGAGACGTCTGGCTGGGAATTACCGGGCTTCTTTACCTGACTTGTGAGGATTAAATGAGCGCTTCGAAAGCGCATTACACACTCCACATATGGGTCTCTAACCACACAATCCACAGCACCCGATCCGACGTGAAGAATCGGTAAATGTTGCCTGGGCTGAATTATTTTTGTTATCATGTCTGTTCCTTTCAGTTTTCCAATCACAAACGAATCTCGGCGGGGCCTGGGGCGGAGACCACGAATCTGGGAACCGCAGCCGGATGGAGGCGAGCGCGGCGTCCCGGGAGAGGGTACGGAAACAATAGAGCACTTCAGTGGTTGGCACGGCTTTGGAGGCCCGGCCACCGGCCACCGAGGCCCCACTCCACTAGTCTGTGACTGAGGTGAGAGATGTTCGGTGCTCGCTCGACAGTCTCGGGTGGGTAGCCGGACCTCAGCACCCACCATCACAGCTGGCGCCTCACAAGACGCCCCCAAGCCCCGCCCCGCTGCCGCAGGTAGGCCGTCGGCACCAGCCAATCCGCAAGAAGCCTGGGCGCGGAAGGCGGTGCTTTCGAAACCGGAAGTGACGTTCTGTGCTTGGCTGGCCGCGGAGTCCGCCGAAGCTCTTCTCGGCGGCTCAGGCAGCTGAGTGGGAAATGGCTCGGACTGTGGTGGCTGTTACGGCTTGGGTTGTGGTGGAGACGGAGGCTCAGGAAGCGTGAGGTGAGGAGTGGTGGGTGCGGCCGGGGGCTGGTACCTGGAACCCAGCTCTTCAAGGACGGCGAGGGGCCCAGGGATTCCAGGGTGAAGGGTCCCTTGCCGGAGCCCCCAGCCCCGTGGGAGCCCACCTCTGACCCTTCATCCCTTACTCTTGACACTGCCCCAGCCCGACCCACCTCCCTCCGGGCCTTGCCTCCACCCGGGCCGTTGTCGACTGCTCTGCCGAAGGTGCGAGGGGCCTGCGCCCCTATCAGGCCCTCTTGTCGGGAACGGGGCTGGGGGGCTGGGAGTTAGTTTTGTCCCAAAGGGGAAGGAAAGGCCATCCCCTTGTCCCCCGGGACTGGGCTGGAGCCGCAATGGCCGGTCCTGTTTTCTTGACGAAATGTTAAGTTGTTAAGTCCGGGGAGTGTGTGTTACACTTCTCACTTATGTTCTCTCTCCCCACCCCCTTTTCACCCCCTTGTCCCGTCCATCTCGGGCTTTGGGGGCTAATGATCCTTTTTTCATCCCACTTGCCAGAGGTTGCTCTTTTGCCGCGAATCCACTTGCTTGGGGCAGACAATTATTTCAGTGTGTATTGAGCGCATCATCTTTCTGGGAGGGCGGTCAGATTAACTTCCTGAGTGACGGAGGAACAATAAATAATTGAAGAAAAAAGTACATGCTTATTTTCCTCACTAAATGGTTTGGCTCTAACAACGAGATTCTCTAGCTGTGGAATTTTTTTTGGGGGGGGGAGTGGGGAGCAGGGCTTGAAAAGGGAAGTGAGGAAGGAGAAAAGTAAGTGAGGAGGAAAGTCTGGAGATAAACAACGTGGAAGAACCTGTAGTAGTTCTTTCCCTATGGTCTCCTGATCGAAGTTGAGGTTGTAATTATATTTTTATTTTTAACAGTGGGTGTTAGGGTAAGGAAAGAGGCCTTGGTCTTTGAACAAGATTACCAATTAAAGACATACCCTAAAATCTTGTCAGGTGGGTGTCAGGCAGAAAAGCTATGCTGGGAAGTTTTTTGTTTGTTTTTTAAATGTGCTGGAGTATCAAAGGCATAGATTAGAAGAGATGGAGAAAAAAGAAAGCTATTAGAAGAGTGGTGAAGCCAGTTAAAGGGGGAAGACTGCACTTAGGAGGTCCAGGAACACTGATTCCAGGAGAGACTTTGTACCTTTGCCTCCTTGGCTTGTGGCCAAGTCCTCCTAGGAGCTTTAGCAGCTCTGACATAGTTGGGTTAGTGCTCTTATTCATGGTAGCAAATTAGACTGAAGTGCCTTAAGTTGAATTCTGTATAGTTGAAGATAACTGCTTCTTTAACATTAAGACAGTCTTTGAGTACTGAAAAAAGCACTATGACTGAATGAGAATAGAGAGATTTTATTATTTAACTCAAATTTAATTCAAAAGTGATTTTTATGTGGGTACAAAGCACATACAGAATTTCCACAAGTTATTTTGCCTAACTTAACAGATTAAAAAGCAGTTTTTTTTCTGATGAAAATCTCTTGCAATTTGTATTTTGTATGCATGTTGCTTGCAGTTTTTCTTGGCAAGCAATATATTTTAATGCTTTCGTCCATAGGTTTCACAGTTTTTCTGTTTTATAGAATGTGAACGTTGGCATGCTTGCATTTAGTTTTAGAAACTACAACTTTATATAATTAGCTGCTTATCAACATAAGATTGTTTCTCCCTTCAGTCATGAATGGTTCCAATTTTTTCAATTAATTGAAGATGGCAGCATCAATTTCTACGTCTAGGAATCTTTCATCTTGCACGGTGTTCTTACTTAGAAAGCACATTGAGTAAAGTGAACTTAACCTAATGAGAGTGTTGGATTTCCCACGAGCTCAGAGTTCCTATCTGAGCATCAGACCAAACTTTTAAGAGCAGCAGTGCAAAGCACTTTTTTTTTTTCGTGTTTTGTAACTTGTATTGCTTTGATCACATAAATTAACCATTTTATTATATATTTGTCATATTCCAAAAAGAATTTAAGGCAGGTAAATTCAGATAAAGGTGAATGTTTTAGTGCCATGCATTCACATAGTACATTATTGGATTTGTTAATTGTACCTCAGTAGGGCTCAAACTTGACCCTCTGAAAGATCTTATTGTTTTCAGAGTCCCTGTAAGGGTGCCTGGCACTGCAGTGGTTCCAGGGATAGAAAAATGAAATGAGACAGTGCTTGTTCTCAAGTTCTCTAGTCTATCTGGGGAGACAGACACACAAATTTAAAACTATATGGTTATTAGGGCAGTAGTAGTAGATCCAAGTAGTACGGGAAAGGATGAGATCACGTGGCTGGGAGATGGAGAAGGAATGAGTGCATCCGATAAAGAAGATGATACTCTCTGAGTTTTGAAGGGTGAATTTCTTCTATTAATAAGGCTGGGATTACTGTGATTAGGTTTAGACCCTGCTGTGATACTATCAAGCAGTGAGTTATTAAGCAAGCTACTTAACACCTCTGGTATACACTTTTATTTGAGAGTTGACTACTATATCAATGCTGTCCAGTAGAAATATTACATGATGGCCACATATCTATTTCACTTTTTTGTGTTAAGTCTTGGAAATCCGGTATACATTTTATACTTACATTTCATTTCGGAGTAGCCACATTTCAAACACTCAATAGGTGCATATGGTTAGTAGCTACCATTTTGGACAGTGCAGATCTTCAGTATAAAAATTCTGCTTTTGTGTCTTGGATTCCTGCTCGAAAAGGAAAATGTATTGGTAGTAATTTTTAATTTCTAATCAATTTGGTAGTACTCATCCATGATGATTTAAAAAAATTTTTTTTTCTTTATTGATTTTTAGAATGGGAGAGAGATAGAAATCTTGATGAGAGAGAACATCAATTGGCCACCTCCTACATTCTCCCCACTGGGATCGGGCCCACAACCTGGGCATGTGCCCTGACCGGGAATCGAACTGTCAGCCCCTTGGTGCATGGGTCGATACTCAACCACTGCGCCACACTGGCCAGGCCCATGATCCTTTTATTGGAACTATGGTCATACTTGGAAATGATATTGTTGTAGGATATCTTTCAAGTTGTTCATAGGGTCATGGTTAGGACTAGAAGAAACTTTACCTTGTCTCTGTGGTAGAGTCACATTTTTGATATCTTTATTTTGTGCATTTATATTTTTATCTTTCCTTTTTTCTGCAATCTGTTTTTTGCAACATGTGATGGATTTAAAACACAATGGCAAAGTACATACACATGGACATTTTAGGCAGTTAAATTCAGCTATTTGTGTATAAAAGTGAGTGGGATTTTTAAACATTCTTGATTTTAATAGATTTGAAGGCAATTACTGGCTTAGCAACAAGTATTTATCTTTTAACCTTGAGAATGCATTTAAGATACTATATAATTAACGTCCTTACTGTTAAGCTTATGTCTTTGTTAGTCTTATAGTTCAAAAGTTGCATTATTTATGTGATTAAGTCATGTACAATTCTGATTCATTTAATTTGCTAATCATTAAGTTTGGTTTAAAAGCAAATCAACACTAGAGGCTTATTTTAAACAAGTACCTATGACTAACAATGATCAAGTAAATAATATCCTTATATTTGTATTGATTGATGATTATAACTTAAAAAAAAACACTTTTTTTTTTAATCCTCACCCGAGGACATTTTTACATTTTTTTGTTCAGATAGAGTGGGAGGGAGAGAGTGAGAGAGAGAAACATTGACATGAAAGGGACACATCGAGTGGTTGCCACCTACACAACCCAACCAGGGCCAGGGACAAACTGCAACCGAGATACGTGCCCTTAGCGGGAACCGAACCCAGGTCTCTCTGGACCACAGGCCTACACTCTAACCGCTGAGCCAAACCGGCCAGGGCAACACTTTTTTTTCTTTATTGATTTTAGAGAGAGAGATAGAGATAGAAACACTGATGATAGAAAACATTGATTGGCTGCTCCTGCATGCACCCCACTGGGGATTTGGCCTACAACCTGGGCATGTGCCCTGACTAGGAGTCAGGGCCAGTTACCTCTTGGTGCATGGGTCGACGCTCAACCACTGAGCCGTACTGGCCAGGCGATGATTATAACTTAACGGATGCCTTTTCCCCTCCACAGACCTTATTTTTTGTGGAGTAAACCCACAAGTCTTTTTCTCATTTTCTTAAAAGAGGAAGATGAGGCCCAGTGAGTTTGTGAATTGCCTAGCATAGTACATTAGAGGCATTCCTTGAACTCACAAATGTCTTACAATGCTAACTAAGCCTGGTATTTTTTTCTTTTTCAGTGCATCTCTTCATATAGTACTTTAGTGTTTAGATACATAGCACATAATCAGATTTTGGAGTGTGTGTTAAAGAATGAATACTTCCTGCCTTTTGAGAGTTTATATTCCACTTAGGAGAGACCAACTATAATACATATAGCAGAAAGTAGTTATAAAAACTTGTTAATGGAAAGAAAAGCTGTATGGGATACTATAGGTACTTTTTTAAAAGATGAGAGTTAATGAGGCAAGATTTTTGAATAAAGAATTTAGATCTTAAACTGTTGCTGTAGGAAAAAGGTGATGAGGTGTCAATGACAATTATTTCAATGCACAGAGAACAACTTGGAGGAAAACTTAGGAGAAAAGAAGAAATAGGTTTAAGGAAAGATTTGCCAGGCTTATTTGAAAAGATAACGACGGCACATAGGTGAAGTAAGAGATGGGAATAAATAGACATCTGCTATAAAGAATTTAGAGGCCAATGGTCAAATTTTATATTATTTGGATGATTAAGGAAATGTTAGCACAGCCTGTGAACTCTGGCTTGAGCAGTGTGGAAGACATAGTTAAGAGGACTAAAGAAGAGGTCAGTGACTAAATGAGCAGCAGAGTAATGCTTGTTCCTATTGTGAAATGAGTTAGGGATTTAATAAGGAATTTGACTATGAGAAGAGAAAGGAATAGCAGTGTTAAGATCATTGGCTTAAATTTTGCGGTATTGAGGCAGGCTGTTTTTTTAAAGTATTTCC